CAGTCATGGTTACAGTTTCCTTTATCAGTCTCCAAGGTCCTTTATCTGCTATAAACTCTGGCTTTCTGCCTATTTTGTGTTTAACAAACTGACTTAAAATAGGTGTTGCTTTAAATGACCATATATGAAATATACAAGTGCAGTGGTGTGTACTTCTTATTTATTTTTGTTAAGCATGTCATGAATTCCTTAATTCTCTTGTTTCTTAATTTGCTTTACCTGGCAAGTTTTTTTTTTTTAAATGTATTTTCCTTACCATTTTTCATTATTTCATGTGAGGTTGTTCTACAGTGGTCAGGTCTTTGCAAACCTACCCCAAAGTCCCAGGAAGCTGAGACGTGGAAAAAAAGAGGCTGACAGATCCAGTTTCTCAGAAGGAAACATTTTTATAGGGACTTAGAAACAGAAACCTTGTCTCCTCTTGGGCAGCTACCAGGCTTGATGGTGGGTACCACCATTACCCCCAGACCCAGGGCTTAGTAAGGTAGGGAAAGAATGTATAGGACAATTGAAGTTGACCCCTCAGGGAAAGGCAAGAATGCTACATGAATCTGCCCGAGGGCAAGATTTACCTAACTGTAGATAAAGCAGAAATTTTAGAGGCATGATGGATTAGCATCCAAGAAGGAGTTGCTTTAGCATCCACACAAGTAAATGTTCATTGGCTCTATTTCTTGCTTGAGAAGATACTCTACTCAGATATATTTAGGTAGAATAAGCCTTTTCTTGTGAAAAATAATGATCTGCATCCCACTGGAGGAAAACACGAATAGGTACCTTTATGTTATTTAGCATTTTATTGTAGAGATGGTGGTGATTGGTTGTATTTTGCAAGATTTTTCTTATGTTTTGTGTTTTATACATTATTTAACTATTCTTTCATTTATTAAAATAACCAGAGAGGCAAAGTCTTTTTTGTTTGTTTTTTATGGCTTTTAAAGACTTAAACATCTAAAACAAATAATTTTTGAAAAACTAAACTTAATTTGGACTAGTGGCACAGTAATCATTTTTCATTACCCATCTCTTTTGTACAAGACAACAGTGAAAGAGACTGATAGAAAGAGAACTCTAAAGGGAAGAAGATAAAGAGTAAACATCATTGTTTTTGTCTCTTGACTGCTTTACATTTTATCAGTGTATTTGATCTTGGCTCACACACCCCCTGCAAACCTATATCTCTCATAACTTTAAACTACTTTTTCACCACTTTTCAAGTTTTTTTGTTGTTGTTGTTTTGTTTTGTTTTGCGTTGAAGTGCCACTTTTTCACCCAGGCTGGAGTGCAGTAGCATGATCACAGCTCACTGTACCCTTGACCTACTGGGATCTGACAATCCTCCAACCTCTGTGTGGCACTACAGGCATGTGCCACCATGCCAAGCTTTTTTTTTCTTTTTTTTTTTTCTTTTTTTAAGAGATGAGGTCTTGCTATGTTGCCCAGGCTGTGTTCTCCAACTCCGGGCCTCAAGCAGTCCCCCTGCCTTGTCCTCAACAGAGTGCTGGGATTACAGGCATGAGCCACCATTCCTGGCCCCAATATATTCTTGAAACAAAACAACAGCAACAAAAAGTTGCTGGATTATAAAAACAGTATTACCAATGCTGAGGTAGTTGTATAAAGTAAAGGGAAGCTTGGATAAAGCACCTGTCTCCAAGGAAACAGTGATAAAATAAAGTTTATTTCTGCCTATTATAGTTTGCCAGAGTAAACCTAGACAAAGAGAGTGACACTATTTTCCTTTCCTTTTAAGTATATGGAGAGCACAATGGTAAAAAATTAAACTTTAACATTGGTTGGCATAAAATCAATTATTTGACTTGCAAAATTTCAATAACATAGATTTTACTCCTAGGGTCACCTGCAGTTATTGTTTCTTAGGCTTTGTGGAATCTTAAGGATTCCAGACTTTCCTGTCTCTTGGGTGCTGTATAATTGGGTTTTACTATGGCAAGGGTTAAAACCTCAGTGTATTGATGAGTGATTTTATTCAAAATAAGAGACAACTTTTTTTTATAACCTTTAAGCAATTAACAACATGATCTACTAAACTCTAAATTTTAGTTTTACTTCTTATACCAGTCACATTTCTCCACTGACTAAAAGAAGCCTAAGTAACTTAAGCAGAAAAGCAATGTATTGAAAGATGTTATATAATTTACATAATAGGCTCAAAAAGTGGGAAGAGGTGAAAGGCGGCTAAGAATTTTCACTTGTAGGAAAATTCTGGTTGGGAAGCCATTTCTGTCCCTGTGTGTGAGTTGTGCCTGCATCTGCGTTACTCCCTCAAGGTTGGCATTCCTTTGTGCAGCATCCCTTTGGCAGCCTAGGTGAACAGTTCTCATGATTCTAACTTTCTGAGGTTGAGTTCAAAATTATTTTTTGTAATAATTCTTAGATAATATTTGCCCTTGTCACTGTGTTGACATTTGCACTGATGGCGTAAGAGCATTGGTTGCAAAAGTGTTGGTGCCTTAGCGTGATTCAAGGCAATGGTATGTCTATATCTACATAAATGCTCGTGTGTAACTATTTTTACAGGCAATACTTCTGACATCAAAAATATGGGTTTTTTTCTCACACCAACGAATTTCTCCAACTGTTATCAAGTAGGTATGATTAATTAGATTATTGGTCATTGGTGCTGTCTCAGTCTCTAACCCCTCCTCCCCTCCCCAGGATTTAGAGGAGCAGGGCTGAAAGTTCCAAGATTCTGATCAAAATTTGATCTTTCTGGCAGCTAGCCTCATCCTGTGGTTATATAGAGGCCTCACCCTAAATCACCTTATTAGCATAAATACAGGTGTGATAAAACAGGGTTTATTCTAAATAACGAAGTCACTCTTATCACTCAGGAAATCCCAAGGGCTTTTGGGGCACTCTGTTCCAGGAACCTGAGAGGGACAAAGACCAAATATATGTCTTATTATGCCACGTGTATATTCTAGATATTTTGATTTTGCATGTACAGTAGTCTAGAGCTTGTTTAATTGTCCAGATGCCACTGGGTATTTTCAGAGCTGTTTTATTGGTAAGCTGATGGTGTGAAGCATCTTTGCTAGAACCAGACAGCTTGGTGTGAATCCTGACTTCCCCCACTTACTTAGCTATGTGATGTTGGGGCAGTTTAACCTCTTGGAGGCCCAGTATATATGTCTGCCAAATGGGAATAATAATAGTACTTACCTCACAGAAGTGTTGTGAAGATTAAATAAGTTAACAAAAAGAAATCATTTAGAACAGTGCCTGGTATATAGTAAATGTTAATTATAGTAAGTGTTATTATCATCATTTTCAAACTGTCAAATCAGGTTCCCAACAAACTGGTCACAAGAGAAGGGTTCTAAGACATGAATCTAAGCTGCTGGATACAACTGGATAACAACTCATTCGGTCAAAATATTGATCTGGAAACCTGCACTGCTACAAGTTTTAGATTAAAGATGTAAAATATGAACTTTTCCCTTCTACTTCCTACTACTAGCATGTTAGCTGGGCTAATGTAGAACAAACTTGAATGAACTAACTGCAAACAAATATTCAAGGAAATTTGAAAAGAATGTATCATCTAGTTTGACAGTTTATTTTCTTTGAAGACAAGTGCAAATGGTGATAGTGCTTTTTTAAAACTGTACACACAATAACTATGAAATAATATAGTAGTTTAAGTAATCTTGCTTAATTAGCCATTATCTGACCAGTGTTAAGACTGCATCATTTTTTTTTTTCTTAATTCCTGGGATTTTTTTTTTAAAGAGTTAATTTTTCTTTTTCAATTTTTTTTTGCAAGACAGGACTATGACTTGAGTTTTTAGCTCCAGCTGGTAACACAGTGCCTGAAATAGGATAGGTACATAGCAAGTGCTGAATAAGTAATATACTTTTATATAGAGTCCTATTTTCTGCTTTGCTGGAAAATTGTTTTCAAGAGAGTAAACTTTCACAAAATTCAATAGAGTCTCATAGTGCACTCCAAAGAACTGCTCTATGTTATGATGGTGGATGGGTGTGAGATGGGACAGGTAAGAAAGGATAAAATATGATGGAGAATACTTTCTCAGATATGAAACTATGCATAGGAGGATAATGTAATTGAACCTTTGATTTTCTTGCTTTGTTTTGTTTGAAAAGTCCCTCTCTCCTCGCAATCCTGTTTTGAGAGCATGTGGGGCTGGCCAAACCCCCCTTTAAGGGCAACTGTCTTGCCCTTGGTTCTTGCTGTTAGGGTAGTCCATTTTTGTATCTAGCCATAACCCCTGACTGTGACTACATGGACCCTAGAAAACAGAACCAAGAGCAGTAAATTGTGACATGGTACAAAAAGATGAACTCAGCTAATCAAAATTTTTCCTGGAAAATTTAAAACTGTAAAATGTGGAGATACAGAGGCGGTTAACAGTGGCAACAAAAATAGAAACTGTATTAGGAATTATCTTGAGGTAAACTGGGAGGTAAGATGTTATCATGTATTATGGGGAGCAAAAATATGAGAAATCAGAGAAAGCCATTGAATAGTGAAATGGAGATAATCAGATATTTGAAATTAAGCTGTGTAATTGATAAGGAAAGCCATAGAAGATTGACTGCCTGTTTAATTGATTGATTCATTCCTTTATTCAACAAATTATTTATTGAGTTTCTGCTATGTACCAGGCAATGTTCTGGCCCAAGAGTATTGCTCTAAAAAACAATTCAACCAGTGATTCTCAACCATTTGCTATTTTGCTTCACAGAGAACATTTAGCAATGTCTAGAGACATTTTGGTTTTCACAGCTGGGAAGGGGAGGTGCTATTGGTATTGAGTGGCTAGAGGACAGAGATGCTGCTAACTTTTTACAACACACATGATAACTCCCTACCAAAAAAAAAAAAAAAAGAATTATCTGCCTCAATATGTCAATAGTTCTGAGGTTGAGAAACCCTGGGATAAACCTTCACAAGTACATATTTTATAAAGTAATTGTTAACTTGTAGTTGACATTTAATTTTGTGTTTTCAGAAGTAAGGAAGTTCACTGGAGTAAAATGGAGGCCTCAGTAATATTACCCATTCTGAAGAAAAAACTAGCCTTCCTTTCAGGTATGTTTTCTTTTTGAAATTAGAAAATTAGAAGTGTCTGATATATAAATTTGTTTACACTCTTTTTTGATAAGCTTGACAGAAAGGGATTTTATTTTTCTGTGAAGGTTTTGTTTAAAAAGTATTTCTGAGATATCTTTTAATCTGATTGGATAGCTGTGTGAGCTAACTCTGTCACTGCTGGTTCTTGGCAGGCCAATTTTTATTCTGTTCTGTAATTTCACTAAAATGACCTCTACAAGGTAGATGTCATGATGTCTCACTTTTTATCTAAAAATGTAATAATTAATAATTGATGAACTAGCATCTAAATAATCGTTTCTGAAATATAGAGTAATTAGATTTTATGATAAGCTCTTTCCTAGCTTTTGAATTCTATCTTCCTGTGACAAAGTTTCAATACCCTGACAGAATTATGAGACATCAGTTATGCCAGTTTCACTTTTTACTGTTCAAAACTGTTTGCACAGGCTTTAGTTTACCTTTAGTTATCAACCCAGAGTCTCTATCAGCAGCATTAAAGAGAAGCTGTGAGATACTTTACGAGTGTAGGCACTGTGGTGTCATTCATCGGGTGTAGGGATCTTCTGGAGTTTGGTCATTGAGTAAGTCTGCACATACTTGAGAATAGATACGGTGGACCTGCCAATTTAGGGCTATTTGTACTGTATTCTCTTGCTTTCTCTGTCTTACTCTTTTCAAATCTTGTTATAATTGTCTTACTAATACTAATGTCCTTTTTTTTAAAAGTATATTGTGTCCCTCTATAAATTGGCATGTTTTCCTAGTACAGTTTAAAAAGGACAAAATAAGAAATTGAATTCCACTAAGACTATTGTTTCCTTATTTAATATGTATTTTTTCCCTCCTTGCTTGACATTTATATTTTCTCTTTTTTTTCCTGTTATGAATGGTGTTGTCAACATTTTTATTCATAGCTTTGTGTATTTTGTCCAAGTTCAGCAGTATACAGTCTTATAAATGGAAGTGTAAAAGAGAATATGCATCTAAATTTGTGTTAGGTTTTATCAGATTGCCCTGCAAGTAGATTGTTTCAATTTCTGTTTCTCCCAACAATGTATGAAAATGCCTGTTTTTCCACACTGTTGCCAGTAGTAGATGTGATATTCTCTTATAATCTTTATCAGTGATATTTTTATATCCTGTGACATTGTCTGTGTGTGGCATTTGACACTATTGGCCATACCTGTCCTTACATTTTTTTTAAATTTCAATAGCTTTGAGGGTACAGATAGTTTTTGGTTACATGTATGCATGGTATAGTGGCAAAGAGGTCTGGACTTCAAGTGTACCCACCACCCTACCTGTACACACTGTACCCAGTAGGTGATATTTCCTCTCCTAAGTCTCTAGTGTCCATTATACCATTCTGTATGTCACAGCAGATCCTTTATTTAGTTCCCACTTATAAGTGAGAATATATAGTGTTTGGTTTTCTGTTCCTGCATTAGTTCACTTAGGAAAATGTTCTCCAGTTCCATCCAAGTTACCATGCTTTTGTCTTGAAAGTCTTTTTCCTCTTGGCTTCCGCCTTTCTTGCACTTTTACACTGATGATCATTTTATTTTCCCTTTGCGAAAGCTGAAGGCACAGTTAAGCGTAGTCCTAAATATTAAACTTGCCCTCTAAAGACAACTCTACAGTGAGGCAGAGTGCTATAGTCCAAATGTAAACCTTTTTGTGAGTTTGAATTAATGCATGGATAAAGCTTAGCAATTTTGAGGCACAAATGAAAGATCTCTTAACCCACCTCTCTTAATTTCCTCTCTTGACCATTATTATTTAAGCTGTATTTTTCAAACTATTTTATTAATAGAGAAAATATTTTCAAACCAATAAAATCAGTCAAGGGATACAGTTTGAAAACTACTTGTATTCATCTATTTAAAAAAATTAGACTCATACTCTTTTTGTTGTTTTTGAGACAAGATCTTGCTCTGTTACCTAGGCTATAGTGCAGTGACATGATCATAGCTTACTACAGCCCTGAACTCTTGAATTCAAGCAGTCCTCCCACCTCAGCCTCCTGAGTAGCTGGAACTACAGGCATACACGACAGCATGCCATACCAAGCTAATTTTTAAATTTTTGGTAGGGACTGGGTCTCACTATATTGCCCAGGCTGGTCTTGAACTCCTGGCCACAAGCAATTCTCCCAAAGTGATTCTAGCATGCAGCTTTTCAAAGTGCTGGGACCATAGGCATGAGCTACTACTGTTCCTGGTCGAAAACTTAAATTTTAAAACAAGAAACTATGCAATTGAAGTCACTATTGATTAAGTTGAGCCATCTGAAATTGCTATTTATTGACGTTAAACAAAGTGGTTGAATAGCAATAATTTGAATGGTTGACCTAAGGATAAAAGTTCATTTATGGTTGGCATATCATGAATTGCATTCATATCACTAAGTCATGTTTTTCATTTCACACTTTTCAATTTTTAGGAATAGATTTCTAGATAAATCTAACAACCATATAGAGTTGTTTCCTTCAACATTTGCTAGTTTCGAAGCTTTTAGAATTGCCATGAATATCAGTTGGGTCAGAAGATGGGCTTCAGTGTGGAAGTCAAGCATGACAGGCACTCTCAAAGAAGCTTTGTGTGTGTGAAAGCATTTGAAAGTTACATTTTAACCTTATGGTACACTGCAGGGGACTTGAACTTACAGGAAATGAGTGTTTCACTATCTGGCTTTCAGGATTCCGTATTCAGGTTCCACACATTCTTCTCAGCCAGGCAGGACTTTCTCTTTATTGCCTATCTGACCTTTGTGAATTAACTCGGATAATTCCCTGGCACAGAATGCTCTTTTGACTTGGTTTACAAATTCTATCCATTTTTTAAGGGTTAATTTTTCTGTAAAACTTTCCACATTTGTTGCAACTCTTACTATTTTCTCCATTTTCTAAATTCCTTTTAATAATATCTTATAATATAATTTACATAATGCAACTTAGAAAATAAACTATCCTACTTCATACTGATATCTTATGACTTAAATGTTTTCTTTCTAGGTCAATTGGAAATGTATTTTATTTTGCTTGCAAATACTTGTTGTGCTAGGCACACAATAGATTTTTGATGAATAGATTGCATTAAGAAGCAGACTAAATGGAAGAAAACTAAAGAAAATGATTATTGCTTTGGGTGAGATTTCATGGGTGAATTTTTTCCTCTTATTTTTTCTAAATTTTCTATAATTTTACTATATTACTGTAAATATTTGTAATCTACAAATAGCCATTAGATAGTTTAAAAATTATGTCTTAAACTTGTAGTTGTTTTATTTTAGTAATGCTAAATTCAAATATATATTATTCAGATGACGCCTTAATAATCATTACATGTTAAATTTATATCTTCTTTAATAGGTGGAAAGGACAGACGAAGTGGCCTCATTCTGACAATTCCATTATGCTTGGAACAGACAAATATGGATGAGCTGAGTGTCACCTTAGACTACCTACTCAGCATTCCAAGGTGACTCTAAAGGTGTCTTTTCTTAAATCTCAATATGTTTTCATTCACTTACTAATGATTCCTGCTGTTGCTGAAGTATACTTTGCTATCTTATCTTTTATTAGCAATGAAATGATAAATAAACATACTAGAATCAATAACTTATGACACTGTTGCAGATGAAATTACTTTTAGCTCTTGATGACTTAATAATATACAGATTCCCAAAATGTATGTACTGTCAACATTTTAGGAACATGATGATTAAGCATCTATATACCATGGAACTTTATAAAAATTAGAGAATTTAATTCAGTAAAAAGCATGTTTTATTTAGGTAGAATTTTACTCTCTATATTTGCTATAAATACACCTGTAGGTTTTAATATATTGAGTGAGTGAAGGCCATTATAAGTTTTAAAATATTTTTATTTTAAAAAATGCAAAAAATGTGTATTTATATTTTAATCCAAAGGTCCTTGAATTTTAATCTTCTTATTTCTTGGGTGATGACAAAACTTAAACCTTCCTGTAAGTGTGAATCTCCCACCCATTCCTTCAGAACCAAAACAGCTTCTTCCCCACTTCCTCTCCCATAATTGATATCTGGGGGCTGAAATGTTACTGCATGTTAGAGTCATGTAAAAACTTTTTCAAAATTTGAATTCTAATGTCTGGGTTCATTTCCAGTAATTCTGTTCTAATTGTTTCTGGGAAGTTTATTCATCAGAATTTTTTTTAATCCCTTAAGCTTCCCGTATAATTCTAATATGCAGCCAGATTTGCAAACCACTGCAATATAGTATGAGAATGAGGGCATGTTTCTCTCCCCCACCCCGTGTGTGTGTGTGTGTGTGTGTGTGTGTGTGTGTGTGTGTGTGTGTGTGTGTACACGCATGCGTGCACATGCAAAATATAGAGGTAGAAAAAGGAACAAAACTATCTCTTATGCTCTTAAGCTCTAGCTAGTGAATTTTAGATATTTCAGTCAGTAAGCAATTCTTTGAATTTTTTTTTCTTGTGTTTGCATTTTATTGGCATAATAGCTTATTTCATTATAAATCACCTTGCAGAGTGCAGGATTAAAACACCATTTTATAGCAACCAATTTTAATCACATCTACTTCTGATATTGTGCTATAATTTAATTGTTCTATAATTTAATTTCTTTCTGTTTATTTTTTCAATATTGGAAAATAGAGGCCCTCAAATGAAAATTTTCAACTTTTTCACTTTTCGGTGAGAAAAATATCAGACCCCACATTCAAAGTATTAATATTGAGTAACCTTGCTAATCCTCTGAGCCATAGACACTAATTTGCATCATTCACCATTAGTTAACAAACTGCTTTTTTAGATAACTGAGACTAGTCAGTCTTACAGTTAACAAATTATGAAAAAAGTATTCATAGATAGGTTCATAGAAGGTTAAATGTGTCAGGGAACTTGGAGACCATCTGAAACAACTGCCTTATTTTATAGTTGAGGGGATTGGAACTCCAGGGTTAGGCTTACTTGCCCAGAATCCACAGCCATTTAGAGGTAGAGCTGGTACTAGTGTCTATAATTGACAACAATACAGAGCCTTTTCATACTTCAGATGAATAGAGTATAATGTAATTGCATCTTATATGAAGTCAACTTTTGAGGTTCAGATGGAATGTGAAAATTACTTATTATCTTGAAAGATGCCTGAAGGTGTACTGTCTTTCCTTGAACATGCTGGGTTTTCCTCCAACATGGAGCTTGTCATTGAGGCTGAGTTCCAGAAGACACAGTTGGCTTGTGATTGGGATTGTTATAAGAAGATGCGTGCTTGTATATAATACAGTCACACTCAGCACAAAGATGCTCACCCTGTAAGAGGCACTGGGCAACTGAGGCAGGCTCAGGGATCAGCAGATTCACTCACGTCTCCTGACTCACTTTCACTCAAGTGTGTTCAAACAGGAAGTACAGTGAAAGGCACAATAGCCTCCACTATTTGAATGTTCTCTCTCTTTTATCTAAGTACACATATGATGTTACACTGGTGTAGTTTATGAATCAGTTTCTGCATATCTAGCAAGGCAGAATAGCTACCTCAATACTTTATTTTTTATCATTCTTTTGCTAAAGTTTGGCCTCATGTATTTGTGAAAACTCTGAATTGCTAGCTTTCTGCTTTCTTGGATCACCTTCTATAATTTTGGCATTTTAAAACGTTGGCTTAGCCAGGCTTGGTGGCTTGGCCTATAATCCTGCGCTTTGGGAGGCTGAGGTGAGTGGATTGCCTGAGCCCACAGGTTTGAGACCTGCCTGGGCAATTTGGTGAGACCTCATCTCTACAATAAATCAAAAATTAGCCGGGTGTAGTAGCGCGCGCCTGTAATTCCAGCTACTTGGAAGGCTGAGGCGGAAGGATCGCCGGAGCCCAGCAGGTCGAGGCCACTGCACTCCAGTCTGGGCGACAGAGTGAAACTCAAAAAATAAATAAATAAATAAAATAAAACATGGCTTCCAGTTTTATATCAGTTCTTCCGTTTCATCAGAGAGCTAGAGTGTTTTGGAGCTCTCCAGTGCAACTCTAGAGAGCAGTCAATTAGATGCAATCTTAAAACCAATGTTTCTCCTTCAGAATGTCCACCATCCAAAACTTATTTTAAAGTGTAATTCCCCCCCAATATTTTATTATTAAAGTGTTCATATGTACAAAAAAGTTGCAATTGTACAGTAAACTCCCATATGGCCACCACTTAGAAAATCCACAGCTAACATTGTAATTTGTTTTATCAAAAATCTATTCAATTTGTATCCCTTTTTTGGTCCTAGAAATATCTTTAAGTTGATCCTATCAGATCAGGCTCAGCATGTGTTTAGAAAGGTTTTCCCATTTCTAGTATGTCTGAATTTTTTCTATGACTTGCTTGTGTCTCCCAATCCCCTGCTATTAAGTTTAACTCCTTCCAGCTTGAACATCTGCAGACACTCCAGCTGTGTAGCTAAGTGACCTCTTTATTATAAGAGATGTCCAACATTGATTTTTTTTTGCAATGAGCATCTTAGCATTTTGAATATAATACTAGCTTTTAAAAATTATGCAAAGATCAAAATAAACTATTCCATTGCTTACCTATACTTTCTGCTTATTTTTAATGACCAGGGGACAAGGTGTGATATATACCTATTTTAAATGGCTAGCACAGTTGAGAATGGGGGCATTTCTTGTCTCTTTTCTGTGCAGGTTGACACTAAATGTGCTTTTTGTTTCAGACTGTGAGTATAAACACACGGTATGTTGGCTATTAATGAGTACCATGAAAAGGAAACATGAAAAGAGTCAGTAGAGTGATGGAGTAGGTGAGGGGTAATATTTTACAAAATGATAAAGTGATATTTTATCAAAGATGACTAGAAGGAGGGACAGGCCCCACAGACTATCTGATGAAAGAACATTTAAGACAGAGGGAACTGTAAGTGCAAAGGCCCTGAGGCAGGAGCTGGTTTTACATGCCATGGAAGTATCAAGGAGGCTGGCATAGCTGGAATAGTGTGAGAGAACAGCAGAGTGCTGGGGGGGTGATCAGAGACGGGAGTCAGATCACAGAGGACCAAGGAGGCCACGTAAGAGCTTTAATTCTGAATGAGAAGGAAAGTCATTGTTGTGTTCTGACTGAGGAGTGATGTGATGCATGTCATCTAACATTTTTAAAGCCTCTGTGTATTTAAAGCACTGTGCCAGAAGCTGCAAACCATTATAATAAAAACAAGTAAACATAATAAAAGAAATTATAATAAAAATGAAATTTATACTGTTATGTAACTATAAGCAGACTCTATAAGTGGAAGAGAAGGAGCCCTCAGTAGTAACCAAATAAATGAGGGAAGACCTGCAGGAAACGGACCTCAGGAAATCCAGAAGCAGTGCTTTTCTATGTCAGCAATGTGTGAGCTGCTTAAAGAGCCTCCTCTGTGTTACTTGTGAAGTAACACCTTCACAAGTCTTGTTATTTGTTACTCTGTGAAGGCTCAAATGGAGTAGGAACAGGGTGTTAGATTTTGTTGTTGTTGTTACACTTCTTAAAATATGATTATGAACTTGTCAGCATCAGTATAGGGATTTATTAACAATAGCACTTTAGGTCCTCCAAAATGCCTTTTTAAAGGGCATAACATACTTATAATTAAATATGTTGTCTTTAAAAGTAGTGTAAACCATCACTCTATTTGTCAAGATGAAGGGAAAAAAGTACTTCTTTCAAGTATTTGAAAGACCACTTGGTTTTGCAGTTTTGAAGTAGTATCTTTGGACTGTATGTTTTTGTTGTCTATTTTAGTAACATGTGAGAAAATTATGATTAAGGGTGTTCTTAAGTGCTCTGAAAGATAAATTCAGAGGATCTTATTTCTTTAAGATCACCACAGATGGTATTTGCAAGCTTCATTACTTTCTTAGTCTTATTGTACAGATTAATTTATAGCGTGCTTTGAAATATAAATGTGTTGTCTATGTAAAACTATTTAACAAAATGGTTGTATCACCTGTACCTCAGAGATGTGGATGCCAATGATGAGCAAGTACCAAGCAGTGGGAATGGCACAATTCTCTTGGTGGAGGGCCCTTCTCTGGACAGCTCTGTGTCCTGTGTCCTCTTCCTGCAGCCTTCCATAATGCATTGGTAGAGTCCCTGAGCCATTGCCACTTCTCCAAAGACCACTCAACAGCCAGCTACCCTGCTCAGGCCGACCATCCTTGGGCTTATACCCTCTCCAAGTCATAGTGGACTTCCTAGATGTTTTGTTGGTGGGGAACTCCAGGAGTTCCCTTCTTACCTGAGCCCACAGAGGGTAATTAGGAGTCAGACTTGGTTCCCTCCAGAAGCTTTATTTGCTTTTACTAGCCCTGAAGTAATCACTATGTTGCCTCGGCTTTTTTGTTTTTAAAGAATACTTAGTGGATCCTTTACTTTATAATGAACATCTAAAAAATGTGTACTTACAAGTTTTTAATGAGATATAATCCATGTCCTAAAAATCACTCTTTTAATGTATACAATTCAGTGGTTTTAGCATACTATCTAATTGCAGAACATTCTCATCAGAACCAAAGAAACCTTGTACTTAGTAGTCACTCCCCATTTTTCCCTCCCCTAACCTCTGTCAACCACTAATCTGCTTTCTGTCTCTGTAGATTTGCATGTTCTGGACATTTTATATAAATGGAATCATACAATATGCCACCTTTTATGTCTGGCTTCTTTTTCTTAGCATGATGTTTTTAAGGGTTAGCCATGTTGTGGTATGTTTCAGTTCAGTACCTAATTATTTTTTTATGGCTGAACAATATTTTATTGTATAACTATACCACATTTTGTTTTTCTGCTCACCAGTTGATAGACATTCGGATTGTTTCTATTCTTTGGCTGTTAGGAATTATACTGCTATGAACATTTATGTGCAGATTTTTGTGTGGACTTACACTTCAGTTTGCCTCACATCTTGAATACCTTTTTGTTTACTGTGGAAGCTCAGCTGCTCTCCTTGCTTTCAGAGGAGGCTGTTCCCTTCCAAACTTTCAGCAATATCATCCTTATTCCTGTGGTCTTACTATTTCTTAATAGAACTGGACATGACTTCTCTAAAACTCTCTTGGAACTAATGTGAATGCTTGTGGAGAGTAAGGAGGTCTAGTAAAGTCCCCTGGATTGTTGTTGGATTTAAATCTCAGAACAAATCTACTGTTTACCTTTTCTATAATATATGTAATTGAAAACTTTGGTTGGGAACAGCTTCCGTCACCGAATCCTTGAAAGCGGAGGGGGGTTAGACTTGGTCTATTCAAGCTTCAAATCACTATGTACAAGTCCTACCCTATTTCATTAAGTTTTCCTAAAAGAGCATCAAGAAATCCATTTCCAACGGTTTAAGAACAGCCTACTTCATTTTCACTTAACAAATTTTTTACTTCTGGCAGGAAGGAGAGGTAAGAAGTATGTGACACACTTGACAATATCAGTTACCTACTTCGCTGTAGTCTCATTTTACAGATGAAGAAATTGGGAGGCTAGTGGGACTGCTTGAATGTTGCTTTGATTTCTTCACTTTTTAAGATATTGGCTTTTCATGCTTTTAGAGTAATTTTCTTGTCAAATTAACTTGTAAATTGTTAATACTTTCTGAAATAAGAACAATAAATTGCTTTAGAAAATGAAAGAATACTCTGGATAATTTTATTTATTGTCAGTGTAAACCAAACCAGCTGAGGTTAATTCTACATATATGATTTAAGCTTTACACTTTATTTATTTAGAATTATGAAGAATAAAATATAGAGCTTGTTTTAATACTTCATAATTTTGTTTTATTTCAGTGAAAAGTGTAAGGCTAGGGGATTTACCGTGATTGTGGATGGCAGAAAATCACAGTGGAATGTGGTGAAAACAGTAGTCTTAATGCTACAGGTAATTTTATTTTTGTCTATCAGGAAGTGGTTTTTATTTTGCAGCAACATATCATGGTGAAAATGGCAAATACATTTCACTTATTGGACAATGCCTGGCTTCTCAGCAGTGACTGGATTCTGAAAATACGCATACCACTATTGGATTGTTCTGAGTCAATTTTTATAGGTTTGAGTTTAAGTAGTAAAATTAATCTCAACCCTATTATAGAGGTTTGTAAATGATTGAAAGTAATATCTCGTGTTTAAGTAATTTAAGCAAAAAGGCCAATTTTGGTTTTGGTTTTTTTTTTAAGTGTGAGTGTCGACATTATCACTCACCTGGGAGCTTTTGCACACTGTGGTTTGTGTCACTCCATCCTGCAGCCCCATTGTGATCCTCTAGATAGGTAGTAGGATTGGGAAAGTCTAGTCTGAAGAAGCTACTCAGGTGATTCTGGTATGTTTTTCTCTTCTAGTCCCCTCTTTTCTCCTTAAAGCATCAGGATTCATGATGATCTTATTATTTATTTATAGCCCAGAAGAAATTAACTTAACAGCTGTGTCCTCAGGGACTTTAGCAGCTCACAAATTAACATTTCATAAACACGTACAATTAAAAAGTCCTTGAGATCTGATGCCAGTCTTGTTTATTTCCTTGTGTTCTTCACAGAATGTTTCCCTATCTCTCGCATTTAGTAGTTAACCCTTAAATATTTGTTGATTTATTTTAGGGATATTAAAAATACTATGATTTGACAGGAAAAAATAAAACATTTGAGTTATTGAAAGGTAGGGCTGATTACACTCATACACTGGGCTCTTTGTTTTTAGAAGGGTTTCCCTGAGGTTAAATTTGAGTTTAATGAAAGGTTATCTAATTTAAATGAAAGAGAAAAGGACATTCCTGGCAGGGTCTCTGACTTAGTTACAGCTCAAAATTGAAGCAAATACAACGAAGGGTGTTGATAGCAGGCTAGTCTGGGGGAAATATGAGTTGACAGTAACATGGGATGGTGAACATTTAGTTAAGTGAATATCAATGAATATCAATATATTGAAAGAGATCAACAATTTTAAATGAGTTTGAGAAATAATTGGTAGCTGCTTTAGGGTTCTGTGAAAAGGAATATAATTTAAAATTTTAAGTGATAACTAAGGAAAATGATTCTTAATGTTTTATCATTTATTTTATATAGTTGGGAAAAAGATTCAAGGGGTGGGAGCAAAGTAATAATTTTAGTTTTAGTGCTTAATGTGGTTCAGATACTGTGCTAAGCTTACTATATAAATCATCTCATTTAATTTTAGCCTCACAACCTTGCAAAGCAGGTTCTTTTGTTTCCGAAGGTCAACAGAGGCTCAGATATTTTTAAATTACTTAAAATTGAAATTTAGCTCATCTTATGTAAACCTTGGACCCTGACTTTATTCATTATTATAAAGTATATATTTACAGTGGCGTGTATCTGACATGGTCCCCAAATTATCTGCTTTTTGCTTCATTCTTTTTATATGTTTGTCCTAAACTTTTCATCGTTAGAATCACTCTTTTGGGTTATAGAGGACATGTTCCCTGAAGGTTCTGTTTTTAAGGGAGCAGATTGGTGCCCAATAATTTTTTCTGTCAAAAAAAGTATACAGGACTTTCATATTCCAAACCCTGAGAATGAACTCTTCTCTGAAAAAGTTGTTAAAATAACTATTGGGTAAGAAATCCATTAATTATGACCTTGTGTTCTTCCTTTCATCCTGTCATTCAACTGTGTCACAGATGAGCTGTTTGGGACTTGCGGTTTGAACTGGACTTTGATCAGTGGCAGTTTTGAAGAACAGTCAATGGATGATTTAATCCCCCTTGCGATTTCTTTTCTGATAGGTATTTTAACAACTTTTGGATTTATTAATAGTTAACATTTTCAGAAGTTACAATGGCCTATTTACTCCTAGTCAAAGAGTTTGGACATACGAAGTTGTACATTGCTTGTATCTTAAAAGGTATTGGTACCAGTTATTTGACCTTAGAGCTGACTCTGCCAATAACTAGAATTTTCTGAAATGAGGGGCTTGGTTTCTCTTATTTCTCATAGCTTTCATATCCAATGGTTTTGAAACAATAATCTTCTACAAGGCAAAATATTAATAAGCCTCAAATCTAGCTTGAATTTTCCGGCCCCTTTAATGAAAGTTTTGACACCATTGGCTTTATTTACTGTGGTCACAACACAGTCATTGCAGGGCTTGGTAGATTTCTGATGTGCCCATGTTTGACATCAAAAGGTTTCCTGTTGTTCCCTAAAATGAAATTGTTATTATTCGTTGCTGCCATTTATGGTCTAGAACAGAGGTTGGACCCTTGAGTTTATAAAGTTCTATTGGAACCCAATCATACCCATTCATTTGCATTTTATCTATGGCTGCTCTCACACTAACATGACAGATTTGATAGTTTAGGGAGAGTTTATGACCTGTGAAGCCTAAAATATTTATTGCCTGGACTTTTCAGAAATAATTTACTAACCTCTTGTCTAGAACACATAAAATGGTATAGTAGAACTTCAGAGTCAGACAGGCCTGGTTTTTATTCTAGCTCCATGGCTTTTTAACTCTTATCTCAGACAAGTTACTTTAGTTCTCTGAAGCTCAAATTATTCTTCTGTAAAATTGGGAAAATATGATCTGATAATGAAGATTCAGTTATTCAACAAACATTTATAGAGTGTGTTCTACATGTTAGACACTGTCATAGGCACTGGTAATTTAGGGATGATATGATAGTTAAGGTACTTGCCATTGAGAGGCTTATATTCTACTTGAGGAGTCAGACAATAAGCAATTAAACAAATTAATAAATAATGTAATATCAGATGATGATAAATACTATGAAGAAAAACACAGCACTAAAAGGAGACCGAGTCAGAAGTGCCACTTTAAATATGGTGGACAGGGAAGGCCTCTCTGAAAAAGGAATATTTGAATACAATCTTACATAACCTGAGAGTACTCCTACGTATAAGGCAAGGGACATTCCAGGCAGGACATAGCATGGGCAAAGACCTGAGGTGGGAACAGACTTGGAACATTCCAAGAGCGGTGAGAGGGTTAGGAAGGTCGAGAAGGTCATGGCTGTAGTAGAGGAGTGAGGCAGGAGGGGAGAGGTGTGAGATGGGGTCTTGAGATGTCAGCACAGCAGGACCCTGGGCTTGGAGCGCCTTATAGGCCTTGGTCAAGGGTTTGAGTTTTATTCTGAGCACAAGAGAATGTCAAATGAGAGGCCTGATGAGGATTTTCCAGAAAGCTATTTAACTATGTAGGTGGTAGAAATGGTTAGATTTAAGATATATTTTGAAGTTAGACTCTGTGGGGTTTGCTGATAAAATATATATGAAATATTCATGGGTAATATGAATAACTGTATCTAGTAAATATGAAATTGTATTGTCAGAGATTAGCTCTTCGTTCCTTGTTAATAATCACATATAATCTTGAACTCTTTGTATAAAGGCTGATAAGAAAATTATTTTGTGAGAAAATTGATTTTATATCTTTTGATGAAATTTTTCTAGATGATTGTGTTAGAATATTTTTTCATATTATAGAAAAACCAAATTTAATAGTTTCTCAACTAAAAATTAACTGTTGCAGTTTAAGCATATTCCTAGCCCAGAGGTTTAATAAAACAAAATGATTCACATGCACTATCTATGCTGCATTATTTATTAGAAATTATTTCTGAATCAGCTTATTTTTCAAGTACATCTTTATTGCAGTGTATCTTTTAAAGTTTGGAAAATTTCTTTTACAATACTATTTTAATTCTTTCCCAAAGGTCTCTTACTTAGCCTAGTCATTAATATCTGGTAATCTATAAAATTGGTAAATTATTCATTTTATGTATATAATTTGTAATTATTTTTCTGTATTTTATAGAATGTTGTTCCAGCTGAGGTGTCCCTTGTTTGTGTGGTGAAGCCAGATGAATTCTGGGATAAGAAAGTAACGCATTTTTGTTTTTGGAAAGAAAAGGATAGACTTGGCTTTGAGGTAAAAATAATCTATTTTCAAAGTGTGTTATATCTTTAAGAATAGTATATTGCTGCTATTATATTGTTTGTTCAGCATTGGTTACTAAATGTTGTTTAACTAATGCTTAATTAGTGACTAAGTAATAATTAGTATATAGTCAGCATTCAGATACTTATTAAATGAATTGATTTTTTAGTTCAAAAATCACAAAAGGTTTTGTTTTCAGTTATATTGTTCTTTGTTAACTCCTTTGAATAAGTAGAATCGTTTGTATTATAAAAAATATATTGCATTACCAAGAGGAAACTTAATGATCACTAGGAAATCCTACACATTTTGAAATTGATGTGAGTCTGTTTTCTATGATATATCATAATTTTTTTTTATGTTTGACTTTGTTTGATACATAAACACAGTTTTTCTTCCTGTCCTACTAACTACTCTCTTTCTGTCTCCCACTTTTCTTGTGTAATAGTGCGTGGTGTTGTAGGTTAGAAAGAAACACTAAGTTGGAACACAAATCTAATCAATTTGTCAAAGTTTTCCTTCCATATCTGTTAATTCTCAGTTTCTTCCAAGTAGAATTGATAGATACCAACCTTCACATTGTTTATAAGTGTGGAAACTTTGACGAATACAAAGTCTAATCCAAACACACAGAATATATGAGGGAGGACTCAAAAAACCCTGGAATTTATTTATTAAAAATTTTGTTTATTCTTACATATGTAAACTTCAATCACCTTCAAAGAACTCTCAGTTTGATGCAATAAACCTATCGAGACACTTTTTCCACTGCTTAAAACAGTATTTGAATTTGTCAATTGTGATAATTTTCAGTGCTTCTGTTGTTTGTTTTGTTTTGTTTTGCCTCTTTCACATCAGCAAAACGTTTCCCTTTGAGAACTTTTTTCATCCAGGGAAACAAACAAACAAAAAGTTGCTCAGGGCAAGATTGGATTAATAGGGAGGATAGGCCACATAGGCATGCTGAATGCTCAGTGCAGTGTAAGTAGGTGTGTTGTGGTGGTGGAAGAACCAGTCAACTATTTGCCACAACTCAGGATGTTTCTTCTGCAAATCTTGATGCAATCTTCTCAAAACTTCCAGATAAAAACTTTGGTTGACTGTTTAATCTGGAGGAACAAATTCCCAGAGTATTATGAGGAGCTTGCCCTCCAAAAGATAATTTCAGTTTTTTGGGGGGGTACCCCATCATAGACCCTTGGAATGCTTACAAAGAATCAGACAGTAAAGATTCATTTTGGACCTTACCATACTACAGAGAGTGTCAAAAAAAAATGTAATCACATTTTAAGGAAAGAAAAAACTGTATTAAAATTGTAATACTTGATATATACCAATAACAAAAGATGAATACAAGTCAGTTTGACATATGCAATTATAAGAGGTGCTCAGAGTAGTTACCATCAGTGTCCAGGCACTTCTGATTTCGGCGAACTACTGTAGGACTTGTTGCTGTGCGAGGCATCCCAGGTCTTTCCTCGTGCACATCACACATAGTACTATGCATCTGAAACTTATTACAAATGCATGCAGTTGTTAGGTGAGTTGGAGGTTCTGTTGCATACTCATGCCTCCATTGTTGTACTTCCACAGTGTTCTCAAATTTCAAGTACCACTTCAAAATGATTTTGTGCTCCTCGAATGATAACCATGCTTCTACCATTTTTGACTGTACTGCTTGCCACATGGTGACACTAGCTAGCATTCATTTGATTAATACTCATCTTTTGAGCAAATGTCATACTACACATTGCTACCGTTATTTTACTTTGGAAAGTAATACTTAGATAACATCTCTTAAGATGTGCATAAGTTTTTTTGGCACCCCCTGATAGCTCATCATTTTTATTTTTACCGAAGTCCATATCAGGGTATTTTTGCTATGGAGGAAAGGTCATCAGTGCACATTAGAAAGATTTAAGAATACCTAGTTTGTTCTTAGATGAAGAAATTTGAAGTGTCTTAAAAACATGTGATTATTTTATTTACTTTGAAAAATGTTTAAGTTCTAGTTTCTAGTTTATAGGCAGTGAAATTCATCCATTTTAGTGTATAGTTCTGAGATGTCTGACAAAACATATAGTTATGAAAGTACCACAATCAAGAAATCAGGAACTATCTCATCATCCCCAGAATTCACCCATACACTTCTGTAGTCATCTTCTCTATCTTCAGGCCCATGACTGGTAGTAAGGGAAAACTATTTCTCTGCTCTCAAAATGGGGATTCCCACAACCCCCAACTCAAGTTTAATTATTTGCTGCATTGGATCACAGAATTCAGGGAAGCACTTTACTTACATTTCCTGACTTTTAAAAGATATTATAAAGGATATGGATGAACAACCAGATGAAGAGATATGTGGGGCGAGGTCTGGAGTGATCTAGAGTGCAGGAACTTCTGTTCCCAGGTCATCGGGGTATACACCTCTCCTGGCCTAGTCACCCACCTGGATGCTCTCCGGATGATTTTGTGCTCATCTAGAAGTTTTTAGAAAGGCTTCATTAAGAAGGCAAGATTGATTAAATCATTGGCCATTGAACTCATCTCTCCTGCTCCTCTGCCTTCCCCAGAGGTAGGGGAGTGGCACTGAAAGTTCCAGCCCTCTAATCATGCCTTAGTCTTTTTGTAGACAAGCCCTCTTCTTGAAGCTGTTTAGAAGCCCCTAGCTATCAGTCATCTCATTAGCATACAAAAGACACTCTTATCACTCCAGAGATTCTAAGGATCTTATAACTCTTGTGTCAGGAACTGGGGACTGAGACTGAATATTACAACAGGTACTCCTATCACCCAGGAATTATAAGGGTGTCAGGAGCTCTGTACCAGGAACCAGGGACAAAGAGCAAATTAATATTTCTTATATCACAATATTATAGGTGGTACCTGTTCAAATCTTTTGCCCTTTTAAAAAACCTATTGTTTTCTTGTTGATGAATTTTAAAAAGTTCTCTATGCGTTTTTGATAGATCATTTATCTGACACATAATTTACAAATATTACATCCTAGTTGTTTGTTTGTTTTTTTCATTCCCTTAACAGCATTTTTCAAGACGTTTTTTGTTTTTAACTTTGATGATCAGTTTTTAAATTTTCCCATTTTACAGGTGGAAAAACAGTTTTCTTTTATGATTAAGACTTTTGTGGTCATATCTAAGAAATATCAGCCTAACTCAAGGTCTCAGAGATTTTCCTCTCATGTTTTCTTCTAGAAGTTGTATAATTTTAAGTTTTAAATTTAGACCTGTTGTCTATTTTTAATTAATGTTTGTGAGCTAGAGTCAAGGATATGCATTTTATGTGTATGTATGCACGTGCTTAGTCATTTTAAATTTATAGTTTGGTTTTGACCCACCATATGTTCTATAACTGTCAAGATGATTCATAATGTTGTTTAGGTCTTCTATATCCAGTAATAGTCAGTCTACTTGGTCTTCCAATTACAGAAAGAGAAGTGTTACAGTCACCAACTTTAATTGTGGAATTATTTCTACATTCATTTTTGTTGTTTTTGCTTTACATATTTTGAAGCTCTGTTTAGTACATAAAGATTTTGTTGGACCCCAAAGTCCTAAATCCGAGAGACCACCAAAGAGCCAGCTCCAATACAAATCACACGAGGGTCTTTATTCAGGCTTGAGTCTGGGCTCACATCTGTAACCGGCGCAGCAGTACAGGAATGAGAGCCCCGAACTAGAACAGCAAGTGGTTTATATACACAGTTGTGAGGGAAGGGCTGGGCGTGACTGGTTTTTCCTAGGCTTGAGACATTATCCAACTAGAAGAGGGCATGACGAAGAAAACGAAGTCCACGGACCTTGCATAATTAGTTCTCAGTTAGGTCTGTGGTGATGTCAGGGGCAGGAGTGCTTGAGATTGGTTGGTTGGTTCACTTTTGATTTGCGCGGGCGCAGGCTCGGCTGCCTGTTATTGACTACTAATGGCCAAACGGGCGGAGGGGAGGTAGTTAAGCCTCCTGGAATGTCAGATAAGCTACAGTTTACAGTCAGCTTTGACATACAAGCAGGTTTGAAGCAACACAGAGCCCACCAGAAGAGTGGCTGGCGCCATAGAGCCCACCATAATTCAAGCAAAGGAATATCCGGGAGGGGCCTTATTGCTTAACATTCACACACTGCCATCAGTGGTTGCAGAAGCAGAAGAAGCCGGTTATTTCAGTTAACATGGTTATTATGGGACAAACAAAAACTTAACAAAATTCTAAGTACAAACACTGCAAATATTTTGTAACTTTACGGTCACAGTTACTACCAGGTGCCTTATATATGCCTAGTCTTATGGGGTTTGAGGTAGGGATTTATAAAATACAGTGAACGTGAGGTAGGAATTCATATAGTAAACGTTTCTTTCATAGCAAGTATAGTTCTTTTGAGTCCTTTGAGTCTCTCAGATTTAGGATTGTTACATCTTCTTGGTCTGTTGGAACCACTTTATTATTACTAAATATTCTTTTCTATTTGTGATAATATATTTGGTCCATTGTCTGATACTGATATAACTACTGCAGCTTTCTTTTGATTAGTGTTTGCATGCTGTATCATTTCCATTCCTTTACTTTTAACTTATCTGTTTCTTTACATTTAAAGTGGATTTTTTGTAGACAATATACAGTTAGATCTTGTTTTCATATCCAATTTGACATTCTCTGTTTTTACATTGGTGTATAAGGCCTTTTATATTTAATGCAATTATTGACACAATTGTGTAAACTCTACCATCTTATTGGGTTTTATGGTTTTTGTTTATTTTTTGCCATCGTATAGAATATTTTTTTTGATTACATCTTATCTCCATTATAGGCTTATAATTTATATCTCTTAATTTTTTAAAAATTGTTGTCCTAGAGTTTACAATATATATATCTTTAATAATCAGAATCTTACCTTCAAATAATATGCCACTTCAGGTGAAATAGAAAGACCGTAAAGCAGTATATCTCTGGTACTTCCTTTTTAATGTTATGCATTTTA